TCGTGTGCTCAGTGTTAGATCTACCACCACCGTGTATCGATTGAGTAGTTATTTCATATAGCGGGTCTCACTTTAATTCACGGCAAGTGATGTAGCATTAAGGAAATTGGATATACCTGGTATTAGAGTTTATCTGAATTGTTCTGCAGAAGGGAAAATCTCTATCATTTTAAGCCTTTCTTTTTCTGAACTGCAGTGTCATCATGTGGTATCAAGAAGCCAGGAAATGCAATCCGGTAAGGACAACACATTGTCATGTGCTAGAAACATATTTTTTTCTCAAATCTATAACTTTTTGGGTCTGATAACCCAATGGTTTCTATAATTCCACTAGTTTTTTGTTTAACAATTGCTGTGAATTTATGTTGGCATTTATGTATAATTTCTTGATGATTGTAGACTGCAATTCCAGTGCTAATAGGGACCAAGTTTGATGATTTCGTCCAACTACCCATAGATTTGCAGTGGGCAATCGCTAGTCAGGTAATATTTGGGTTTTGTTGCACTTATGAGTCGAGTCTAAGTTGCGTTGTGTTAAAATTTGTTCAATCATGTCTAATCCATTTATAATCTTGTATGACAAAATTTGTCTCCTGTCAAATCCATTCCATGTATAAATTGTATTTAATAAGTTCGTGTCATGTTATGTCGAATTCGTATCTACCAACTTACTTAACTTTTTTATTGGTTCATTCGTTTTCCACTCAAATTTGTGTTAAAGACTAAATTCAAACCTGTTAATACAGATCGATTGTGTCGTTTCTTGAGTGTGTATAGAATTAATAGGCCTGATTCATGCATGTCACACATTCTGCCTTTCCTTTTTTTCTTTTCAAACAACATTGATGTGATTTGACATGATTTCCGGATGATTGCATGTATATGAAAATTATGTGGAATGTTAGGAGACTAAAAACCGCGTGGTTGGAAAAAAAATGTAAGTCCTTCTATTACCGGACAAAACATTCTTGACATTAACGAGATAATTATGGCTGCACAGTGATTGAGATTTGTCTTCTTGGAACCCTCTCTCTCTCTCTCTCTCACACCCACAGAGAGAGAGAGAGAGAGAGAGAGAGAGAGAGAGAGAACGCACCAACAATTTGTACTGACCATATAACAATAGACATGAAATTCAAGGGGCTTACTGCACTNCACACCCACACACACAGAGAGAGAGAGAGAGAGAGAGAGAGAGAGAGAGAGAGAACGCACCAACAATTTGTACTGACCATATAACAATAGACATGAAATTCAAGGGGCTTACTGCACTGCTAGCTTTGAGCTTTTTGGAGAAGATGTGTCTGAAATTATATTATGTTGATGTTTAAACAGGCAAGAGCATATGCAAGGGCCCTGAATGCAACCCTATTCTTTTCAAGCTCCACCTACAACATAAATGTGAACAAGATTTTCAAGTTCATCACGGCAAAGCTCTTCAACTTGCCCTGGAATTTGGAGCGTAATCTCACAATCGGAGAACCCATTATTGATTTCTAGAGCTCACTTTCAAAACTCTCTTTCTCTCAGGGTCACAGTAATTGTAGATACGAGAATTGCTTGTTCCCGAGAGAAAGATCACAGTCAACTGATCACTGGATCTGTCCGGAATTACCATCCCCCCCCCCCACCAACCCGGTGAAAGTTCGGGTTTTTGTTTCGTTCGAGTATAATGGAGAGAAAGGTAGAGGCGTAGAGCCCCCGTCTCCATGTATGTTGGACACTATTTTTCCTGTTTCTAAGTAATAACACATCATTTCAACGTGTTCAGAAGAATAAATTAAGAAAGAAAAGAGCGGAGTAAAATATCATAAGCTTATCAAATGTAGCCTACTTCTGGATGATTGCACAAGCCACTGACTAAAGGGTGCGGGGAAAGAAATGAATGCAACTTATATGGTATATTATGATTGTAAATTCAATAAGATAGAAACAAGGCAAAAAAGCTTTAGTGTTTTCTATGAAGAGAAAGTCATGGATTATTTTAATGTACGAATCCGATCAAGAGTCAAATATATCTGATGTAAGGAAGGGCATCACAGGCACCAGATGCCCCAGTGGAGGGAATACGATTCTTGTGAAATCTGAAATTTGGCTGCAGGGCTGTTCCCATTTACAGGGTCTCATCCTAACATGAGAAAGGGGACTGACAGATTGTCAGAACTGTGGTTTCAAAGGGGTTGTTGCTTAGGGCCTAACCAAATGGTTGGGAATGCAGCACATACACATTTCGGGCCCCCACTCTGGGAAGGGTGAGAGGGAGCCCCTCCCCTGGGGGGTGGGGCGGGATTTCTGTCACACTCCATGGCAGAGGGATATGCAGGGTCATGAATTGGACTCTGTTCAGAGGAGCCACCTCCAAGGTCAGTCTACTGTGAAAAGAGTAGGTCTGGCATAATTCCAAGGATAGGAACTCACAATTGGTCACTAAGCTGGCCATAAAAACCATGGTTAAGTAGGTTCCAGTGTTCTTTCGGTGACACTCTTAAATCACATGAAGAAAAAAGTTGCAGCCATGCAAATCATGACAGATTGAGATTAATCTTTTGGCCTGCTATGCGCCTGTAGTAGCTGGAAACCAAACTGTCAAACACCTAAAATTTGACATCCTAGTTACAGGATCGCCCAGAGATGATTTTGTAGTTCATTATCCAACCAAAAGAAAGCAGATTGCTTAAGATGCCAGATTGTGTAGACAAATAATCTAGGATGCCATCTTTGGAATGATAGGAATTTCTTTGGCTACTTAAGTAATTGCAATAATTGACTGTAATGTGTGCAATAATGCACAAGCAAAAGATATACCCGTACTAAAAATAAAGAATAAACTACAGAATTCTTATGATGTATACCAGATTGTTTATGGAAAAACTGTTCTGAAGTTTCACAGTTCAGCAGCATGTTTGATTTTTCACGTGCAAGCCAGTAGATCAATGGTTGAAAACAAGACATGAAAAATATTTATTCCAATCATCTGTGATATGTGGAAGTTTAAATCCAGAAAATGTGTGAACTGAGATCCATATTGGGATTTGTCACCTGTTATTCAAAAACTGAAAGCCATAACAATATTAATGCTACAATTTAACATCCAATCATCTAAAACAGTAGCTGAAATTTTAAGATAGAGAGGGCCAAACCCAAAATAGGCTTTAGGGGGATCCTGAAATTAGGCTTTACTCAAGTTTCACTTCTACCTTGGGGGGATCTATTTCCAAGTAGTAGAATGGCTCAGTTGGTTCCTCCCTGCATACAGAATATGTGATTCAATTATCATTTATCAGCAACTACCAAGAAGAAGTTTAGGTCATGTATTCTTTGAAATACCACAGTAACTTCCAGATACATAGACAAGGAGAAGAGCTTCAAGCCAGCGGGTCAACATGTCAGGGTTCTGAGTGGTTTGAAGAATGGAGAATTTGGCTAAATAACAACTTTAACGCAAGATGGATTTCTCAAGTACACAAATTCTCTTGGCTGAAGTACCAGTAATTGCTTTTAACTTTAGGTTTGGACAATCCATGTAATTTCAACAGAAATGCAGATTCTAGACTAGCTCAAAACAATGTGCACAGGAATGCAGCATCAACATACCCAGGTTTCGAGCGCATGCAGTGCCAGAAGAGCTTAAAAGGACCAGGAACCGTCTTAAACGGGTTGCCCTCAAAACATGCCTACAAAGTGTACAAATGACCAAAGTCAGTTAAATAAAGAAAGGGCCTAGTTTACATGTTGGATCCCCATAGCCAAGCAAAGGAAAAATAAGAAGTTCATCACAACATCCACATAGAAATTGTGAATGGTGATGTGTATATCACCCACTTACAAAGTCACCTTGATCACCGGACAGGCCTAATCCTCTTCCATTGAACTTGAAGGGAGGGAGGTGATGGGCTTCTATAATATTGTTACTAGGATAAACAGTCGATTTGGTTAGTGGTACGGATACGGGTGTGATATGATACTTTTCTTGGTATGCGGTATGATGGAGGTATACTTAATTGATACATCATTTGAGTTGTGGTTCATTTTGTAACTCTTATTGGGGCCGTTTTCACTCTGATTATACATCTATATATATATAGTTAACTTATATATTTATTTTATATTTCTAAAAAGAGTTCTAAAACAATAATCGAATCACAATAAATCAAAATATAAGTTAAAAGACCAAAGAATAAAGAAAGAACTAGATAAGTTTACAATTTAGGGTTAGGACTATAACTTGGGAGTACCTAGATCGTGATTCTAGTTGTGGTTTGAGTCATAATTTCGGGTCAGCAATTTGAGCAATCTGGACTGTAATCCACCCAGTTTCGGGTCGTATAACCCCGGTTCTTGGGAGACTTTGGGTATATACAATTCTGGTATCTATGTCTATAATCTAATTGCCTTCTTACACATCATTTGAGAAAATTCTATTGCGTTTTCTTTTACATTCACTTGATAGATAGGTTCACTTCTAGGAGTCATATCAGAAATTTTATATCCCACAACAAAGGGACTCATATATCAGTTTTCTTATCATGTTAATGATTATGAAAACGACTACTAAGCCGAATTTATTAACTTTGGACTTGGGAACTCTTAACAATAGAAGAATCTCTTCTGTTTCCCTCATAGTCAACGTCTTCTAACAATGCGACAATACATTGTCTCCATAAATCTCTATCCTTTCATCAATCTTGATCACAAATAGAATCTGCCAGAAATTTGCTATTGTACTCCACTTCCCTACCAAAGCATCCTCCAAGTTCTCAGTAACTTTATCATCACACACTACAGAGTTTCCAAAAAATTAGGCCACTTACCATAATGTCCATCATCTATTTTCTATGCTGAATGAATTTTAGGTATCAATGCCATGTTTTGTACACTCCTAACAAATCAGCCTGCAACTTAAGCACCTTACTCTATCTAAATTATCCAGCACCATAACAAATCTTAAAAAATAGTCTCTACACTAAAATCATCCTGAAAAGATGCGAAGTTCCAGCCCTTTAAACGACACTGCTTGACTACTTGCTTAGTGAAGTTTTACAACAATTCATATCTATTTCCAGACCATGGGCACCTTCCACCTATTTGGAGAAACATCCATCCAGGTTACAAGCCAATCCCTCTCTAGAATTTCATTTTCAATGCTAAATTTTCATGTAATTCTGAAAAAATGAACTGATTCCCTAAAGTATTAATATAAGATTATGAAGAAAAAAAAAACAGAAAGTGCAAAATATTCACTATTGATTGAGTTATGAAGATCTGGGATTTCGTATACTTAGACAGGCAGCATTAAATCGTTTAAGTAACTGCACTTCATTACACTGCTTTCATTGATCGACGGGGCAGGGTACGAAGATGATAGAAAGTTCATTAGTAGTTGGCTTTTATTGTTTAAACCAGTTTACCAAGTAGCCTGTTCATAAAACATATTTTAGGCTTTCTATAGGCTTAAACAACTCCAATCAATCAATTGACTTCATATTCAAGCTCAAATAGACCTGCATCAAAAAACCTTATTTCAAATTGGAAATTTTGACATGTGTCTGCATTTCTATACTCATATAAACAAAGAATAGAAAAAATTACAACCAATTCTACACTTCCACAATTCAATTGCTGAAGCCACATTACCGACAAAAAATACCCATTATAGAATAGATTTCCAAGCAGAAAATGAAATACTGTGTCTCTATAATCATCATTAATGCATTCAAAATCTTATAAGAACAGAAGGGCTTAAAGGAGGGTTTTGTCTGGGTATTTACCTGGATGACATCTTCAGCACGATCGTTGCATCTGTGAGGCTTTGGCTGGCGGTCGTCTCCCTCTGGCCTGCCCCATGGACTCTCTCTCCTCGGTACTGGTCTGTCACTCATCTCTCGCTGTTTCTCTTTCTTTTTCTTCTGCTTCGGCTTCTTTCTTCTTCTTCTTTCGTGGGTTTGGGGACAGAAATGTGGGGCGGGTGCTAAGCCCGCTGGTATTCGGGTTAGCCTTGGAAAAATTGACATTTATACGGGTCGGGTTGGTATGATTATGATGGAAAGTTAAAAATAATAGAAAGTCAAAGTGAGAGTGAGAGTTAAAGAAAAACATACTTTTATGTATGCATTTGGTTACTACGGAAAATTTGTGAGAATTTTTAAAAAAAAAAAATTATTCTATTGTTTTAAAGAAAAGAAAGTTATAAGATTTTTTTTAATTGCTTAAATTATTCTGAATTATATCATGATTAAATGTTAAAAAAGTTAACATTATTTTTTAATGACTCGTGACCTAATTCTCGATCAAGGATCTGTCTGAACCCAGATCTCTAAGCTAAATTATATAGTTAACCTAACAAATACCAAACTTTTTATAAATTTAATAACCAATTCAATATTTTTTTAAAAATAAGGGTAAAATGAGAAATTAGCTTGTATATCTCCACTTTTTTGCTTTTCCTTGTATTTTTGTAAGAAAAAAAAAATTGGTTAGTTGTGAAAAAATTTAAGTATGAAAATAAATTATTTTTTCCCATCATTTTGCATTTCATGCCACCCAAATACATGAAATTTATAAATCTCTCTTTCTTTCATTTTATATTTATTTTCAATCTTCACGTAATATAATATTGGTTTAAAAAAGATATGTTTCTAGAAGAGATAGCATTATTGAAGGAATTTTTTTTAAAAAAAAGTAAAAAATTTTATTGATAAAAGAATCAATTACAAGAATCGAAGAACATATTGTTTTTGAAAAAAAATACAAGAAATGACTTTAATCCTTCAAGAGGCCTAAAACCATTTTAAACTTTCTACATTTTTGTCTCCGATTCTCACAGTTCAGCTCCTGGCCCTTTGATCATAATCCATCATCTTTCTCATCCTTGCAATAGGCATCTCAGACTGATCCTATTGCAGAAACAGCCTGCCAGACAATGGCAGAACACCACTGACTGAAAAATCAGTGCATCTCCTAGAATAAACTGCAAAATAGGCTAGGAAATCAGCAATTACATTGGCCTCCCTGTACACATGTCTTAGCTGAAACTGCAATCCACCAAGCAACATCCAGATCTGATCCAAAATACCTTTAAGCCTCAAAGGAATTTCTGCTTTTCCCAACACCATCTGAACCAACACTTTAGAATCAGATTCAACCAAAAAATGATAATCCTCCAAGCCATACTGCCTAATCAAGTTTAATCCATCAAGCATTGCCATACATTCAGCCAACATGTTAGAACCTATTCCATAAAAGGCAACAGCATCCAAAATCACTTGCCCTTTGGAGTTCCTTAGAACTATCCCACCTCCAAATAAGCCACTACTCCCTTTGGAAGCACCATCCAGGTTCAACTTCATTATATTCTCAGGAAGAGGCTCCCATTTGATCCAAATCACCTTGGTAATGATAGAAAAAGGAGATCCAACTTTAAGCTCTTGCAACCACTCATTTCCCCTGCAATCATCCACTCTCTTAGGCTTTATCATAAATGCCTGCCACCTTAATGCACTAACCACCTGTAAAAAGAGGCCATAAGCATTCAGATTCAACCCTCAAACCTCTTTCTACACCTTTCCTTCCATAAAGCCCAAACAATCAACATATATACCCCTCTAATCAAGCCTTGACTCAGAGATTGAGCTTTAAAGCTTCTCATCAATCTCAGAAACCTACACATGGGAGACTCTCCTACAAATATCTCAAATCCCATAGCAGACACTCTCCTCCACACAAGTTAGAGCAAAAGAACAATTAACATACATGTGTGCAACATTTTTCTCCTCCATACCACAGAGACTATATGTTATGCTCTTAAAATCGGAGGTCTTTTTTCAACCATTGACCACCAGTCAACCCGCGGAAGTATCTGTGATTGTCGCACAACCTGATATCATATTAATAACATCCCCCTAACTGGGATCATAACCCACACATGTAACCCGTGTATATTTTACCATTTGACCCGACCGAGGCCCAATTTACCACAAGTCATACTCCATTATAGTCTATTTACATTATTTGTTTTTGTCAACCTACCGATAAGTTTTTTCTACTGGAAAAGTCATACTGGTAGGTTTTTATGGACCTACCGATAGGTTTTACCTACTGAAAAAGTTCTACCGGTAAGTTTATGTCCTACTGGTAGGTTTTGTATGCTGGACAACATCCTAGCTATACAAATTTCAACCGGTAGGTTCATGTTCTACTAGTAAGCTTTGCCTTCTAGGCAGCGTTCTATCGGTAGGTTTATGTTCTACTGGTAAGTTTTGCCTATATTTGCCTGTTTCACCTGTTTTCAATTTTCAATTCATTTCAATCTATCTCCTTTCCTTCCAACACATGTATATTGACAATTTTCAGATAATACAAGGTGTATACACATTCTATTACATTAATTTACATGCCAAAACTAGGTTTTTATAATAATTTACAAAAACTCAAAATAAAGCCACATCCCGGCTTTCTTCATCCTTGAGGTCCCATGTGAGGGCCTTTCGTTGGCGTATCTCCCACACCTGAAATATTTTTCCCATATAGGGTGAGTTACGCTCAATAGAGTATCTCCTACAGAGGCTACTCTCCAACCTAGATACGTATGAAATGTTCACATGCAACATTTAACAAACAACAACCATTCTAACCAATATTTTAGCAAGTCTATGTTGGAATCTAATATGTTATGCCATGGTATGAGATGTTACCCACTCATGCAACTCAACCCGAGCCCTCACTGGCTCCTTTTTCCCATACTATACCATGAGTATAAAATCGGGTTTTCCCTACTATTGATGATACCTATCCAATGACTGTTTAAAAATTCTCCGGGTCTTTCTTGAGGTGGGTATTTATGGACTTACACCAACGGCACCCAACCGACACGGAATTTATGGACTTCCACCAACGGTTTCGTGTACACAGACACACTTTATGGGCTCTTATACCAATGAAGTGCGTATCCAAATACCGGGTCTCTCACCCGAGGGATAGTCTAACCCTTCTTTCTAACCCCGACCCAAATTTCATGCAATCGTGCGACTCAATCGGACCTTCAATCCAACTTTCCCGAGCCCACCCATCAACTACCAAATATGATGTTTGATCAAACTATTCACGCACTCATACCCACACCCATGTCTCATGCCCATAGATACGATGCCTCCATGCAAATGCAATGTAATGCACCATTGTTATACCAATGTCATGCCCATATGTAACGAATGACACATGAGCAAATTTAACCACACATATACATATTTCATGGTAATTCATATCTCGTGCATATAATCACTATTTCATTTACACAATTTGCAAGTATGTTATCACATAATCATGCAATTAACACACTAAACTCATCAAGGCATTAATGTAAACACATAACATGCCCATAATTCACATTCCAGTAGGAAATCACATACTTAGCTATTTCTAATCACCAAATTCACACTAGAATTTAATTTACCAATTCCAAATACCCAATTCCATCAACTTTACAACAATAGGCAAGTGATGTATTACTCTATCAACCTACCCATTCCATATAACACCCTATGTTAGAAAATAAACCAAAGTAAGTGGGAACCTTAGCTCTTGAAGCATAGAGAACAACCGTAGGAAGTTCCAAGAACCCGCTTCTAGTCTAAATTCCTAGCTTCCACAAATCCTGTTCCTTGGTCTTTGGTAAAAACCCGCTCTTTTTGGTATAGCCGCATAGCCCTCGATGAGAGGAACAACTTTTTCTATTGGTTCGAGTTGATTTGAGTACCCGAGCTTTGTAGATCGTAGAAAGAAGTGAGAAGCCCTCTCTTTTTCCCTCTCTTCCTCTCCAATGTTGAACTGGTTGAGAATGTGGGGGAGATATCAGATTTTTTTCCCTTTTTGTACTTCTCAATACTTGGCTCACAATGCGCCACACGGTGCTCTTTTTTTCGGGTCTGTTTTCTCCCCGAAACAATTTAATTTCACCTCGATTCAAGTTCAAAATATTTTTATTTTAACTTTCCTTAAATTATTTTTCAACTTTTAAAATTTTATTTAAAAATTCATTTTCTTGGGTCACTCGAGGCCTGATCAACTCATAAAACGCAAAAAATTTAACTATCTCAGAATTCGACGAAAATTGATGGGATAACTAGATTTAACGGTGATGTCCATTTCATCATATGAGATCTAGATAAAATCTTGATTTTTTTAACCCATATCGTAGTGACAAATTACCGTTTTGCTATTTTTTCATAAAAAAGTTCAAATTTACTCGGATTTTACACTAAATCTGCTAACTAATGACACACCCACACTCTGCACTCTAGCATCAGTAGACAATACATTTTTGAAAATCTTCCAAGCACACAACTGGGCACTAGGAAACATTTTCTGTTTCCAAGTACTCTGAGCAATGACACTCTGAACACCTTTCCTCCTAACCTAATCTCAAGCAGATTTAACAGAAAAAGAACCTGAGTTGGTGTGCCTCCAGACTCTCCTATCTGGTCTCTCAGGCCACACCACACCAACATTTTTAATCGCAAACTATAACTAAGGAGTAAGCCAATCAGAAACTCCTTCTGAATGCCACTCATTAGCACTCCATACCTCATTAACCTTGGGAAAGATCAATGGAAAACCTTCAATTCTAAAAATTAATGGACCAGGCTCCATCCAAAAATCACACCAAAAATTAGCACTCTGACCATTTCCAATAATCATCAAAGAGTTATTCACCACAAACTCAAACCAAGGCCTCAGAATCTTAAAACTATGACCTACCCTAGAAGTCACACACCTCAACATATGCTTCCCTTTAAAGTACTTATCTCTAAACACCTTGCCCCATAAAGAATGGCCATTTAGAATGCCCCAAACCTGTTTGATTTTGAATGCAGACTGAATTTCAGCAAAACTTCTGATCCTCAAACCATCTTCAGCTTTAGGCTTAGAAATATTATCTAATGAAACCCAATGCCT